CCACAACGCCCGGCTATTTTTTGGTTGCAGCCGTCATTGTTGTTTGGCGGGTCCGGGCTGGGGATTCGAACCCGCCACCTTAGGTGTACGTGGCTGACGCCTTAGCCGGTTGAGCTATAGGCGCCGAGCCAATTCCCAGCTATTTTTAAGAGATGGGGTGTTGTTCTTGCTGTCTCCAAACTCCTGAGCTCAAGCAATCTGCCTATCTTTGTCTCCCAAAGTGCTAGGATTATAGGTGCAAGCCACTGTGCCCAGTGCCTTTTTTTTTTTGAGATAGAGTTTTACTTTGTTGCCCTTGGTAGAGTCCCGTGGTGTCATAGCTCACAGCAACCTCAAACTCTTGGGCTCAAGCGAAGTGATCCTTTTGCCTCAGCCTCCCAAGTAGCTGGGACTACAGCCTCCTGTCACAACGCCCAGCTATTTTTGGAGACAAGGGTCTTGCTTTTGCTCAGGCTGGTTTCAAACCTGTGAGCTCAAGTAGTCCACTCACTTTGGCTTCCTAGAGTGCTGGGATTATAGGCGTGAGCCACCACACTGGCCAAGCCTGGCACTTTCTGACTTTTTAATAATGGTGTTCTGACAGGGGTAGGTGGTATCTCATTATAGTATTAATTTACATTTCCCTGATGATTAGTAACATTGAGTATTTTTTCATGCCTATTGGCTATTTTGTCTATTTTCTCTTGAAAAACTTCTGTTCATGTCTTTTAACCCCCAGGTTATTTAATTAGTTATAAGTGGCAGAGTGGGACTTGAACCCAGACCATTTTATCTTGCATAAATGAACCTACTGATGTGCTAGTCACTATGCTGGTATTTTACCTGTTACTTTTTAAAGTCCTCATAAAGCCCTTCCAAGACCTGAAACTAAAGCAAATGGATGTTAAGTCACTTGCCCGAGACCACAAGCCAATAAATGTCAGAGCTTGAATTTAAATTCAGTTTTATCTAACCAGAATCTACACCTGTCCTCATCACAGACATCCTCTACTACTTCCCCTTATATTGGTCACTGAGATTCCTTAATAAGTACTTCTTTGTCTGCTTTTCCTGTTCTCCCACAAAAACTCTCTGAAAGTGAGGCAGATGAAGCTTCTGTACATATTTTTGACAAGTCATTGACTCTCTTTGCACCTCAGTTTTCTGTGTGTGTACCTCTGCATGTTTTTACCTGCTTGCTCTTGATTGTGGGATTTCCAGGAGGAGCAAATATAAACTAGATGTTCAAGTGCTTCGGAAACCATAAAATAAAAAACCATCATACTAGCCCCATTTATCAGGTAAAGGAAGAAAGGCTGAGAAAGGCTGGGGTTTTTTTTTTTTTTTTTGGAGACAGTCTCATTTTGTCGCCCTTGGTAGAATGCAGTGGTGTCACAGCTCACAGCAATCTCCAACTCTTGGGCTTAAGTGATTCTCTTGCCTCAGCCTTCTGTGTAGCTGGTACTATAGGCACCCTCCACAACGCCCAGCTGTTTTTGTGAGACAGGGTTTCGCTCTTGCTCAGGCTGGTGTCGAACCTGTGAACTCAGGCAATCCACCTGTCTCAGCCTTCCAAGTGATTATAGGTATAAGCCACCACACCTGGCCCCAAGGCTGAGTTTTTGAAACAAGCCATCTGCTTATAGGCATGTCTTATTTACCTGTAAGATTGTTTCCAGGGGAAATCTGCCCTTTTTGTCTTGCCGTTTCTATATTGGCCACAT